CGCTGAGTGTCCAGAGGGCACAATAACAAAGGGACAGTGAGGACTGTTTCGTACACACCCTTTTCCACTTTGCTTCTGTTTCCCACTCCTCTCAGTTGTCACTGTCATGATGTGGCCCCTTGCTGTGTACCACCGACTGTGGGATCGAATGTATGTACGGCTGAAGCCAGCTCTGCAGCGGCTAGATTTCAGTGTCCGTGGCTACATGATGTCCAAGCAGAGAGAGAGACAATGTAAGTATCAAAGGGAGGCTTCTTTCTGCTTGGGCAATATGGAGACGAGAAGGAGAAACCCGTGGGTCCTCAGAAGTTGAAGTGAGTGAGGTGTTGTTGGGAGGGGGAGGTAGGTAAAAGTGATATTTTATTCCAGGGAAATCTGTGCAGGCTTACCAATTTTCCCACTTAGAATTCTAGACAGTCCCATTTTAAACAAATCCAGGGAAAGCTCTCCCAAATTGCATAAAAGACAGTGAAGATTTCTCTAGTGTTTGCTGCTTTTTATAAGTACTTTCCACGTGTCCAAGCATTGTGCTAGCAGCTCTGCATACATCATCTTATTTAACCTTGACAACCTTGAGAAAAGAAATTGAACTTCACAGTTAGTAAATGGCAACTTCTAAGCCAGGCCTCTTTTTACTATTGAAAGCTGCTTTCCAAAAGCGATTCATACTGCCTGAGAAGCCAGAACTCTGCTAGCCTGGGACACCAACACATGAATGACAGTTGTGTGAACTCTTTCCTCCCTCCTGGGGGCTGGTCAGATTGGATGTTTCATTCAGTCCTAGCATTCAAAGAGCCCTGCACAGTCATCAAGGCCCAAGTCCCTGGCACAGCGGCTGAATAGTATCAGTCCTCAAAAGCCTAATTTAACCAAAGTGGAGCATCTCCCTTTGCCCTGTGATAGCATTCACTTTCCACCTTGTGGTCCTGTCTGCCCCTAGCTGATCCTGCTACTTGTTGATCATCTGATCAGAACAAAACTGGAGGGGCTGGTGGAGGAGAGGTGTTGGAAGAGAATCTTTCTCTCTCATGTTATCAGCTTACCTTGTCACTTAGGCTCAGCAGCTCCACCTTCAGGCTTTGTTATGGGGGCCTCAGGCCATATTCAGAGAGTTCATTCTATCCTGTTCTGATTTTATACCTTTGAAGTCCTGGGCGGGTGGGGGTTTCCCCTTATGGGAAGGCATCAAAGCCCTCTGCTCTTTTCACATAGTGCGCCGCAGAGCTCTACACCCAGAGCGTGCAATGGACAACCACAGTGACAGCGAAGAGGAGCTTGCTGCTTTCTGTCCTCAGGTATTTTGGGTGTGGAAGGTGCACCTCTGACCAGTTTTCTTTTAGCTCCCTTTAACTGTATGGCACCTTGTGTTTAGGCAGTGACTAGGTTTTCAAGCTCGTTATGGGTGCTCCAAGCCCCCTCCCTCCCCTTGCCCCAAAGAGCAGTGAGGAGAGAAGTTAGTATTCTATTGGGACTGTGTGCATAGATCTTAGTTTGTGCCTGGTGACCAGCACACCCTCTTCCATGTCTCCTTTTAACCCCTACCATCATGGCAGAACTTCTGGAACTGGCGTGATCGTCTTTTAAACAGCCCAGCCCACCTTGTATTGGGCAATGTATCTTCCTGGCCACCTGTGAAAAGTAATCTCTGGATCAGTTATTTGCTTAAGAGTAAGTGGCTGGTTGACTCCCCACATTACTTTCCTTCTTATGCTCAAGATTAATAAATAAGGGTGATATCCTTGGGGGAGCAGCCTAAAAGGGGTCAAGAGAGTGACTGAAGTCCCTGTTGTGCCTGATTGCACTGCTGGCTTTAGGGTAGCCTTTAGGGCTAGCCAATTAGTAGAGCTATAACTGGGGAACTTCACCTGTTCCTAATGGCATTCTCTCTTCAGGCTTGTTGGTCTTTTCTTTCCTAAGCTGGATGATTCTACTGTTGCCAGGGAATTGGCCATCACAGACTCCGAGCACTCGGATGCTGAGGTTTCCTGTACAGACAATGGCACATTCAATCTTTCACGGGGCCAGACACCTCTAACAGAAGGCTCTGAAGGTGAGGGGAACCTTGGACCCAAGTTGATAATAATTCTGACTGTTGCCGCTCAGCTTCCCTCAGCAGAAGGGGATCCTGGCCCCTCCTCTCTGAGGTGTGGATCAGGTGGCAGAACAGCTTTGGGATATGGCTGCAGCCAGGATGGTTCTGCTGCTCTCCTTGAAATCCTCCCTAATAGCCTCAGATTTCTAAGCTCATATGGAGCATGGTGGAGGAGGGGGAGTTCTTTGGTCACTAGAGATCATAGCAGTCTGTAAGTGGAGGGGAAAGGCCGACCAATGCCACAAGTTTTGCTTCACCCTGAGAAATTCAGGGTAGAAAAATCTGGTTACATGGGGCTGACTTTGTGGGGCTGGGGCACAGGAGTGCCAGGCTGTTACCGTGTCTCATACACCCCTCTATTCTCCCAGACCTAGATGGTCACAGTGATCCAGAAGAATCCTTTGCCAGAGACCTTCCAGACTTCCCTTCCATTAATGTGGATCCTGCTGGCCTGGATGATGAGGACGATACCAGCATTGGGATGCCCAGCTTGATGTACCGGTCCCCACCAGGAGCTCAGGAGCTCCAGAACCCTCCTGCCAGCCAGGACGAGGCAGTACTGCCAGAGCTCCTGCTTGGTGCCCTGCCTGCAGGGTCCAACCTCACCAGCAACCTTGCCAGCCTGGTCTCCCAGGGCATGATCCACCTGGCCCTGTCAGGGGCCTCCCAGCCAGGCCCTTCTGGCCCACCTCCCCGGAGAGCAACGAGAGGCTTCCTCCGGGCCCCTAGTTCAGACCTGGACACTGATGCTGAGGGGGATGACTTTGAACTTCTGGACCAGTCGGAGCTGAATCAGCTGGACCCTGCCAGTTCCAGGAGCCACTGAGGCAGAGACTCCTTTTAGGGGTCACTGTGGTTTAGGCTTTTTTTTCTCCCTATCCCACTTAAGGTGAAGGGGCAAGGGAAGAACCCAGGTCCCATCCACTGAATTCTATATGTATGCTTGATGGCCTGGCTGAAGCTCAGGCCTGCCGAGAGAGGATACTCACTCCCCTGCTACCAGCTGGACGCCCATTTCTGAGCTCAATCACTGCAGTGAGAGTGCTCCCCCAAGGGAGGCTTCTCTTCATCAGAATGGTACTTTTGGGGAACAAAGTAATCAGGGGTATTGGTTCCCCTTCAAGGGGGTGCTGCTGTTTGCTTCTAGGTATGGGTGCTCGGGGGCCCTCAGTGATAGAAGCCAACTTTTTCTTCCTTCCTCCCTTCATCTCCTCCCTGGAGCTCCAAGTCAGGCAGCAGCTGGAAGAGTTACTTTGCCATCATCCTCTTGCTAAGCCATGATTTGATTTGTCTTTTTCTAAGCAAGTTTTTTGGTTCTGCAGAGCAGGCCTGCTCCCTCTACCCCAGCCCATCCTCATTTTTTGAGGCCTAACCTCCAGTGCTCCAATGTAGTGCTTGTGAAGTTTAATGTGAACACGATGTGGGGGAGGGGGCCTCTTTGACATTACCTTGGGCTGTGGGGTCAGCTGGCTGAGAGGGCGGGTGCCTCTATATCTTACGGTCTCACTAAATATTCTGAAGCTGCCTGGTTATTTTTGGTGCTGCTAACCCCTGGCTCCTGACCATCAGCCTGAGCAATGAGCAAAGCAATACCATACCATATCCATTTCCATGTTCCTGTTCCTTCCCTTGCTCCTCCTCTGGAGAAGCAATAATTGCATGGGGGGGTGTCAAAAGTAGCACTTTACAAATGGCTCATTGGCATTCACCCCAGGAGCCACCAGCTCTTCTTCTACCAGCTCTTCGTTATTTTCCATTGCTTCCCAACTTGGCAGGGCCTCTTTTAAGGATGAGCCCAGTTAGCAAGAATGTGTCTGTAGTCAAGAGACCCCTCTAAGGGGTATCTGTTCTACTGCCCCTAGGAAAATCATATTAGAGAAAAACTAAAAATGGTAATTCTGAAAACGATGCCAGCCTACAGCCTCTCTCTGCCTCCCCAATCAGAGCTCAGGCCAAACCCTTCTGTCCTCTTGCCCTCTGCATTAACCCTTTGCTGATCCTCAGGGACCACTCCCCCAACACTCCCATACCTGGGTGAGGGATGTTGGACAGAGCCCATTTTCATGTGCTGCAGGTGGGAGTGTGCTAACATGTTTGCTCTTGGTTGATGGACAAGGTAGAGGCCAGGAGTTAAAATTAAGGTGAGAAGGGAGAAGAGCTAGGTGCCTGTTTCATAGTCACTTGTGTGTGAAAGATTCAGGCTAATGGCGTCTCCTCACTTTAGGGTTCTCAGACTTTGGACACTTTCTCTCTTCTCAGAGCCCAGATGTCTCACAGGTGAATTCTGATGGGGAAAACACGGGAAGTGTGGGAGAGGAGTTTTGATGTGGTTGCATGAGTGTGTATAGCTTCAGGCCTTGAACGTTGGCAAGAGGGAGGGAGGAAGGAGAGCACAATTTCAGGAGGTGTTTCTTGTACCTGGGGGATCCTGCTCTGAATCTCCTTAGTCCTCCACTGTGAACTGGGGTGGGGGTGGACGGGCGGGGGGGCGAGGGAGTGGTGCTGGGGAATAAATCTTGTATGAGAACAATCTTTAAAAGACTAATATTGGTGTTTTACCCTGGATAGTGTTCTCAGGTGACAGCCTTAGAATAGGAAGTCCAGGTGTGAGCGACCCACCTGCCCTGTCTTTCCTTTGTCATGGTTAGAATACTCACCATGGTCAATTAGGCCACTTTCCCTCCCCTGGAGAGCCCAGACAGCATAACTGGCACTCTTGGCTGGCATCTAGCCTGCAGTTCCCAATCATGTTTCTCTTTTTTTAATGTTTGTTTTAGATAGAAAGCAAGGAGGGGGGTAGTGAGAGAGAGAGAGAGAGAGCCAGAGCCTTCAGTGTGGAGCCTGACACAAGGCTCACACCCACGAATCTTAAGATGACCTGAGCCGAAGTCAGGAGTTAGATGCCCAATCTACTGTGCCACCCAGGTGCCCCTCATTTTTAATATTGTTCCTTAGCCGTGTGACGATAACTGTGTTTCAAAGGCTAATGAGAATTTTAGGTAACAGAAGGCTTTAAAGAGTAGCACCATGCTCTTCCTTTGGACTGTTTGAGCTGCAGGGACAGCTGCTCTTTGGCCTTCAGCTGACCTCAGAAACTAGAAACATTTATTTCAGGCGTTGTCCCTTTGGCCACTGTGGGCAGAAGTGGAAAACACCTGCCAGGTGTTGCCGTAAGATTGACTCGGCCAACAGAAAACTTTTCTACAAGCTTTGTGGCTTAACCGAAGCCCCCTCCCAACCCTGGCTTTCCTTGGCGTTCAAACCACAGCACGGGTTGAGCGCCCCCTGTGTGTGCGGCTCGGTAACGGGCAAATAAGGGTATCGCAATGCTGCTTCCAGGGCTTCTACGCATTCTTGGCTTCCAACGATCCTCCTGCTAGTATCTCTTGTTCCTATTTTACAAATGAGACTGAGTAAAAGAAATTGGGCAGTGGGACAGGACACACCCCTGTGGGAACTGGCCCTGTGATCTTGAGCAAGTCACTAGCCCAGCGGGCGCTGATCCCAAGTTTTCTCTCCCTTGGAACACCGGCCCGGCTCACGGTCACGAGAGCTCAGCCGCTGTACCGGAAGCTAGTCTCAGAACGTGAAGGCGTGATTTACTACGGCCTGGTCCCGACGGGGAGGGACGGAGGGAGGGAGAGGTCCGGAGCCAGCGGCCCGCCTCCACCGCTCGGACACAGAAGTGGCAAGGAGCGGCGGCGGGGCCGGCTCCAGGCAGGACTGAACTACAGCGCCCGGGAAAAGTCGTTTCCCTCCTCGCCAAGACTTCCGCTTCCGCCATTCGCCGCTTGTGGCCCGCCCTACCCGTCGCCGGAAGCAGCCGTTGCCCCGAGCAACTGCAACGTCCGGCTTTCCAAGTTGGCGGCGGGAAAGGCCATGAGTAAAGGCCGGGCCGAGTCTGCGGCTGGGGGTAAACGCGACCGCGGGCGCGCCAGACACCCGGGCGGGGGGCGGGCGAGGGGTCGGTTGAGTGACCCCCTCCCGTGCCCCGTCTCCTCGTAGCCCCCGGGATTATCCTGAGGTACCTGCAGGAGCAGAACCGGCCCTACAGCGCCCAGGACGTGTTCGGGAACCTGCAGCGGGAACACGGACTGGGCAAGGCGGTGAGGACCTTCTCCTAGGATCTCCCTCCCGCCGCCCGCTCCCCGCCCCGGGGCCCCTCGAATCAGCCTGAGCTGCTGCTTTCTCGAGGCTGTCATTCTAGCCTTGGGCTTCCTAAGGCAGTTCGGCGCTAAATCCCCGCTGCCTGGGCCCGAAGTCATCCCTCTTATCGTTCGGCCCCTCCCCTCTGCCAGGCGGTGGTGAAGGCGCTGGAGCAGCTGGCTCAACAAGGCAAAATCAAAGAGAAGATGTACGGCAAGCAGAAGATCTATTTTGCCGACCAGGTGAGGGAAACCTGTGCAGATTATCACCCGTGCGAGACCCCATTAGGAGAATCAGTCTCTAGAATGAACTCTGACTTGCGCCGCGTGAACCTCACCTGGCCTGCGCCGTTAAAAGGGCCGCAGGCACCCTTTAAATGAAAGTGGGCGCTCCCCTTGCTGATCCACACTCTATGAGTCTTCCAGATCTGAGATATGATAAATGCCAGAAGATTCTGAATTGTTGCCACCAAGAAACTTTTCCGCTTGGAGGTTTCTTTTTCCCAGTCATCTAGATTAGAGCCATCTGCTAAGTGATTTGCCTTCTGTCCGCACCCCTCACTCCCAACACAGATAACACTAATTTTGTATCTTTAGGCCCCACCACCACCTGGATGCCTCCCAGACCTTTCAGAATCAATATTGCTGAAGTAGGATGCCCCACCTCCCCTAAATGGGCTCCTTTACAGGCTTCTCCCTCAGAGCCACTCCTCACCCACCCCAGAGACTGGGGAGTCACTCTTAACCTCTCTTACCTCACAGCCTAGGCAGCCAGCAAATCCAGTTAGTTTTCCCCCTTCCTGAACCCACCGTCCCTTTTCCGTCTGCTGCTGCTGCTCGAGTTCAGGTGCTGCTCATCCACAGGACAGCCTCCTCACAAATTAAACACGGCAGCCAGAATGGTCTGTGTGGGTGCAAATCTAGTGCCATTTCCCTCCTTGAAACTCGAGCGCTCCCTACAACAGGGAAAAGGTAGGCAGAGACTCAGCCCCAGGCTGCCACTAGCCTCACCTGCCCCTTCACCAGTACGAGACCCTTCAGATGTGTTTTCCTCCTGTGTCCTTCCTCTGGAGAAGGACAGAGAAAACTCTGCCTGGAGTTTTAAAATCCCTCCTTCCACCCCTGCCTCTTTGCTCAGCGAACTCTTACTCTGAGGATCTCCCTCAGGCATCACCTTCTCCAGAAACCTTCCTCGAATTCTCTCCTCGCCTCTTCTTCAGGCACTCCCCTCCCCGAGGGGTGCTATATTGTGGTTGTCTTTTTACCATCTCCTCTCCCTTCCAGGGCAGAGCCCACTTCTCTTCCTCCTCCGCTCAGCACAACCCCCACCCCGGTATCTAATGCCCAGTGGACACCGAATACTAGTTTAACTGAATCACACCACCATCAAGGCTAATTTTCCTAAAATAGGTTTCATTACATTACTACTCTAATGAAGAGTCCCTAAGGGAGAAGTTGGCAGAATTTCTTCTGTAAAGACAGTTTTGTGCTTTGCCAGCCACACGGCCTCTTGTCACAGCTGCACAACTATCAGTCACTCAGGGCCGTCATTGTAGAGCAATATGTAAATGACTACATGTAAACGAGTGGGTGTGGCTGTTTCCAGAAACTCCGGCTGTGAGCCCCATGTGTGGCAGGATTTGGCGGGCAGGCTGTAGTTTGCTACCTTCTGCTGTAAAGGTTTACCTTGCTTTAATGAAGAGTCCAAACTGCCCAGGCTGGCATTCCTGTTCTTTCTAACCTGCTCCCTGGCATCACTGACAAGACCCCCCACCCCCGAGCCCCAGCACAGCCCTTTGTGGTAGCTGGTCCCTCATGGGAGGGGCTCCTCAGATGTTTGAGTCCCTTCGATACCACCTACCACACCTCCTGACCTGCCCAGGTTCTTCCTGTTGTGGAAATGTGTAATTGAGGTATCACTACCTTGGGGAGAGCGTTCCTTTACTTTTAGCCCAGTGAGTGGTTTTACCATTAAACGACGATTTCTGTCCTGTTCAGTATCCTGAAGCCCCTTGAGGACAGGCTCAGGTTTTAACTTTTCTTTCATACCTTTTTGTTTGTTGGGACCAGTACCAAATGGAATGGCTTCTCACAGGGACCCGCCTGCTGTTCTTTCAGGCACCCCGGAGGGCTGGGGGAGCCCCAGGTTCTTGAGCAGATGTGATGCAGCCTGCCGAGAAGTGGCTTCCCCTCCTGGGCCTCACATCAACCCACTTCTATTTCTCTTCTCACCTCTGGCAGGACCAGTTCGACACGGTGAGTGACGCTGACCTCCAAGGCCTGGACGCCAAAATCGTGACTCTCACTGCCAAGGTGCAGAGCCTGCAGCAGGGCTGCCGCTACATGGAGGCCGGTAGGATGGGCAGCCGCCGGAAGGGGCCCCTGGCGTCAGGGTCAGTCCAGAGGTCAGGAATCCCTAAGTGAATGGTTTGCTGCCTGCAGTATTGTCCTGCTGCCGTGGAGAGCTGGGCTGCGCTCCCACAGGCATTATATTGCAGGAAACAGAAACAGCTAACGGCTTTTGAATATAAATGGGCAAGACACGCATTTGCTTTCCCTAACGTTCCCTAACATTACCCCGTACTGTGCCCATGCTCCCTCTGGGCCATGCTCCTTTAACTGGCTACAGGGAACAATCTGTTCAACCTCACACTTTACCACTACTTGTAGATGGAAGAGGAAAGAAACGTAGAATAAACTAGTAATTCTGTAAGCCTTAGTCTCAGCTGAGCAATTTCCAGAATATGGAACTCATTCTGGGCCCTGGGTGTAGAACCTAGAGCAGGGTAGGGGCCCAGTCTCCTACCCCAGGGAGCACTCACTGGGAAAGAAAAAACCCATCGTCAGGGGTAACTGACCTCAGGGAGATGTGGTTTCAGAGCTGAAGGAGTTAACTAGTGCCCTGACCACACCGGAGATGCAGAAAGAGATCCAGGAGTTGAAGAAGGAATGTGCTGGCTACAGAGAGAGACTGAAGAACATCAAAGCAGCCACCAACCATGTGACTCCAGAAGAGAAAGAGCAAGTGAGTCAGGAGGGAGGGTGGTAGTGGGGGGGGCTGCCTGTACAGATCTGGAGTGAGGTCGAGGGCTGGCCCCCGGCAGCCGCTGAGAGGCTAGAGGAAGCTGTTTCCCTGTGCAGGTGTACAGAGAAAGGCAAAAGTACTGCAAGGAATGGAGGAAGCGGAAGAGGATGGTAAGTGTGTGAGCCCCGCGGCGGGCCCTGGAACATGGCAGCCACTGGAGAAACTGCTGCCCGAGGTTGTGGGTCTACGGGGCAGTGCCAGCTGTCTGAAAAGGGGTGGTTTTGTTATTTCTCAGGCAACAGAGCTGTCTGATGCAATCCTTGAAGGATACCCCAAGAGCAAGAAGCAGTTCTTTGTAAGTGAGTGGTTCTCTCTCCCCTCCTTGCTCCCCTGAGGGTCTTCGTCCAGGGAGGTCTCATTCACTGGTCTCCCTGCCCCAGGAGGAAGTTGGGATAGAGACAGATGAAGATTACAACGTGAAGCTCCCAGACCCTTGAGGGATCCTCTGGCAGGACAGGGGAATGGAAGCGACATCCTGAACTGGCAGCCTCCTTCAGGTTGGCTTCTTTTTTTGTTCCTGTTTTCTGCCTTTGAGGAGAGCAGCCGGGAGAGGGGCATGAACCAGAGTACAGGGCGCAGGGAGTGAGCCCAGCGTGGATGGTCGTCATGCTTGTCTCATCGTCTAGATTCCAACTGCTTGAACTTAACGCTTATAACAACGCTGAAGGAAGGCATTTGGCAATGTTTATTGTAATTTGATATAAAAATACTTAATTTTCTCTGGATAACCAAACCTCCCAGATGTCAACCCTGAGGCAGGCTACTGGGTGGAGACAAGCTACTGTACACAGCATTCAAGGAGTCCCAAGGCCTTACCCAGGACTTTTCTGGGCTCTGTGTCCTGGGAGAAACACAGGCGGCACTAGCACTAAGATGGTGGAGACCCCCAGGATGGCTGGGAGTGGTTTTGAGGCCCAGTTCACTTTCAAAAATTGTAACTTTAGCAAAGTTGCACTGTTGGTGTTTAGAAAATTAAAACAAAAAACAAAACGTTTAATATGTAGTGCTATGTCACATTTAACTTCTCTGTGCTGTGCTCCTGCTTGTGGGGACAGAGGGGGCGGGAGTATGTGGCGGAGGATGGAGAGGCGATGGAGTAGCAAGTCAGGGCAGGAACCCAGCAGCCCTACCCTGAGCTGGTCAGAAGAGGCCTGGTCTCACCTTGGGCCCACCAGGCAGCCCTAGCTGAGGCAGGAGGCGGCCTTCTGCCCCTCGTGCCTGGGGGAGCACTTCCTCATGCTCCTCCCTTCCCATCCAGCCACTACCAAAATGGTCCAACTTGGGCCCAGTGTTGCCCAAGAGACCAGACCAAATGCAGATAGTAGCTTCCCAGTATGTGTAGATCAGGAGCAAAAATCTGAGGATCAGAAGGGGAAAGGCCAGAACAGGGCCCCCTCCCGAAGACTTCTATGGAAAAGGGGAAAGACAGCAGGCTTGAGTTCTGTGGTCAATATAATAAATTAAAGCTTTCACAAAACCAATCCCCCAGCCCCACTGGGGGTGCCGGGGAACCAAACCCCGAGGACCAGCTGACCGGCGTGCAGTGTTGCAGTCCAGCCTTGGCAGCCCAGTGGCTCCGTGGCCAAGCAGGAGACTCTGGCCTCTTGCTGGCTCTTCTGCAGGTTCCAAGAGCCGGTCAGTACAGCTGGTTCTTCAACTGGTGCAAGACGCCAATCACGATCTCCCGTAGGGTCTGGCGAGGGCAGCGCAGGAAGACACGAGTGACGCTCAGGTGGGGACAGAGAGCCGGCACAGACAGAAAGCCCCTGGGAAGCACTTGTCTACAGTTTACTCTGAAATGTCCCCGAGACAAGGCAGAGAAAGGGAATGGAGACACGGAGAACTATGTGGTCAAGCAAATACAAGAAAAATGGGAACGGCAGCAATTTAGGTGGTGGGCACAGGAGTGTCCAGTGTGAAATCCACTAGCTCAGAAAATGTCAGGAAACAAAAAAGCGAGTTGCAAGTCAAGCCTCAGAAACTCCATGCAGTATCACTAACATACTGCTCCATTACAGATAATAACAAACCCCAGGGAAAACCACTTTAGTGGACCTGGGGTGGGAGCCAGGAAGCTTTCCAGAAATTCCAAGTGATTCTGTGATGAGCGTTTACATACTAGGCAGCCATAATGGGGGCTAAGAAAGGCCAGAGCGAGGCTCTGCCTGAGTAAGTGCCCAAATCATTCTTGCCAAATGAAACCTTAACAGGAAACTCTGGGCTAGGAAGCAAGGGAGACGGCCTCTAGAAATCTAAAGGTTGCCGAACAATTTATGACTTGGGCCACTTTGCCCAAAAGACCTGCACCCCTTGACCACCACTGCCCCATACCTGAGGTTTACAGTGCTCCTCAATCCAGCTGAAGACACAGGCTGACAGCTCCTGGAAACTGGCCACGGAGATGGAGGCATTGAAGGACTGGAACAGAGAGTCCATGATGCCTTGAAACACATTGAACTTGACTTGGTCAGAGACCTGATCTTCTCCTTCATGGGGGTTGTCCTGGTGTGCCTTCACAATCTGCTCATAGTTCCTGAAAGCGAGCAGGACAGGGCTACAGTGTGGTAGCAGCTCAGGTCACCCTACATACTCCCCTGGGAAGGGATTCCCGGAGAGCTTCTGGAAGGTAGTCAACATCAGCTAGCTGCTGCTTCTGGGACAGAAATAGGTGACCCCTCTCTACCCCGGCTTAATCCCATAGGCACTCTGGTATCTGCTATGTATCAGGGACTGTTGGGGTGCAGAGTCCCCCCCAACAACGGCCACCTACCAGAGAGGACTGTTCTGTATTATCTGATGTGGCCTTTGAACAAGAGAAAGGTATGAACTGAAGTCGGCCTCAGAGTCCCCTCAGAAGCCCCGGCCCCCCAAGCTCGGCGTCCCCCTTACACTTTCATGATCTTTAGGGCCGTGACGTCCTTGCGTAGCATGGACACTTCCTCCTCCTGCTTTTTCTTCTCCTTGTGCAAAAATTGGATGTAGTCAATAGCTGCAGTGGGTGTGAGCACAGAGGAAGTCTCAGAGGGACAGGCTGACTTTGTTTCCCCTTCCTCCCTTTCCCCAGCTCTCCGGCTGCAGTCACCCCACCAGGGCCAGGCCAAAAGTGGGTGTAAGGCTCTGGCCTCACAGCCACACTGGCCCCCACCACTCCCAGTGCTCGCCCTGGCCGTACTCTTCTGTAGGACGATGGCTTTGCTGAGCTTTTGGGAGCCAATGGAGAAGTCCTGCTGCTGGCAGGTGGGGACGATGGTCTGGAGGTCATCATAGCCTCTCTGTGGAAACAGGGAAAGCCCAGGTTCCTTAACTCCCAGGGATTCAAGCACACTGGCACAAAACTTTCTGTGAACCCAAGTTCCACGCTCACAAACTCAAAGGGGTGGGGGGGTTGGAAGGAAGGAGGTGTTCATGTCCAGGGCCTAGATCAGCTGCCACCAAGGATGCTTGGGACTGATGAGGGCAGGGTGGATCTGATACACAGGGCCCTCCTGCACGGGCTGAGGCCTCCCCGGTCACCTTGATGGCGTCTCTCCTCTTCTGCTCAGCCTGAGTATGTGCTCGCCGCCTCCGGTCTTTGTAGGATTCCTTGTAGGACTCCTGGTGGTAATCACTGTCCTCGTCATCTACACTCAAAGTCAGGGGCAGGAAGAGGTCATTTTGAAGCCCAGTGGGCCCAGCTAACCCACCTTGCCCCAGTGGGGAAGAAAAAAACTGGTGCCCAGAGACAGCAAACGGATAGAAAAACCTAATATCCTAGATGAGGTGAAAGATGGGGAAACCCTGTGTCTAATGCTAGGCCTCCAGCACCCCCATGCTGATGACTAGAGCTTCCTGTCTAGGAAATCTACTAAAACGATGGTGCATCTGAGCCCCCCCCAGGTGGGGGCATGTTGCTGCCTACCTGTATTAGGGACGGAAGAGGCACTGGTGGAACCGATGCTATTAGCTCTGGACACTACACTCCCCTTTCGGGTACTTTCTACAAAAAGCCCTGGAAAAGAGAGGTCCTGATCACTAAGGGGTAGGGCAGGGGGACGCTGTTAGACCTTCGGACACCTGTGTACAATGACTTCCTGACCCTTAAATGCTGACCTCTCCCTTTCAACCCAAAAGCCACTCATACTGGGTCATCCACCTCCTGCTGTGCCACACCACAGTGCTCCTGTCCCTGGTGTCTCCACTGTTCCACAGGCCTGCGATGACACCACCGGTTCACAAAGGGGCATCTGGGCACGATGAGGGTGAGACAACGGCTAGCTCCCAGTATTTTCATCATATCCTTGCTTCAGAGCAGCAGGAACTACACCCTTAGGCTTCCTGCCCGGGTCCTGCAGCTCCTCCCTCACTGTCTCAGGGCAGGAACTCCACTCAGGGACAGTGGACTGTGCTCAGGTGTGGCTGGCAAGACCACGGGAATCTACAGGACTGTGGCGGGAGTGTCATCAGGGGGCTGGAGACGGTGGGGGAGACACTCACCGGGATCCAGGCTGTTGTCACTGTAGGCATACTCCACCTGTGACACCAAGCAAAGGAGCCCATCACACCTCCGCTGGGGGCAGGGCATGCGCGCGCGCGCACACACCGCTATCCACCTCCACCCCCAGGGCGCGCAGGCACCTGCAGGATGCGCACACGTGTGTTCACTTACATACGCGCTCGCGCCCGCCCAGCCACCCACCCACCCCTGGGGTGCACAGGCATTTGCAGGTTTGCCTCGAAAGCAGAGAGCAGATAGGCCGTGGGAGCGCCCACTACCCGCCCCCCCCACCCCCGCAGGATCCCGTCTTGCCTCACCCCCCTCTCCACCACCCCACCCCCCAAGCCCGGTCCCCTCACACTCGTGCACACATGCCTCACTTGTCTCCCCACCTTGGCACGCGCAGGGTGAGGGCTGTCTTCTCTGCAGCCCAGGGGCCCGGAGGGCGGGGGGACCTTTGGGGTCTGCAGGGAATCCCCTCGTCTTCCGGACCCCCCACGTGCACGAGCCCGACCCGCCCTCCCCTCGCCGGCGTGCGCGCCCGCGGGGCTTGCCTTGACCCAGGGGTCGTCCGGAGAGGCGCCCGGCTCCGTCATCTCCGACCTACCGAACCGGAAACCAGCCAGCGGGCGGGCCCCCTGCGGCGAGGAAGAGGCGAGGCGCTTCCACGTGACCCAAACCCACCAACCCACGAATGAGAGGCGGAGGGTGGGGCACGGCCCGCGCATGCGCAGCCCGGAAAACTCAAACCCTAGGGGCAGCAGCCGCGGAGGCTGGCGTGGGATGACACAGAAGTCGTCTTTTCCCTCGCCCACGCTACAAGAAGCACATTCTCTAACAAGAAGCACATTCTCTAAAATGGAGTCCCCTCAAAAGGCTCGTGCGAATAGGATCTCCGCTAATTGTGTGCACGCGCCGTGTTGGGCCCGCGGCTCCCGGGGACGCATGTCCAACCCCGGCCCTGCCGGCACTGCAGTCCTGGCCGCCTCGGCGGACCCCGCACGGCTGCCCCGCCTGGCTCGCGGGAGGCCGGTCCTCCGACACGCAGCCCGCCGTCTGGCAGGAGGCTGGTGGAAAAAACGCTTTCAAAGAGCCCGTTGGCCAAGTGAAGCCTCTTCGCAGATACAGAAACCGAGGAACCTAGAAAGTCTGTAGCTTCTCCCACCACAGACAGCTAGTTAGCGACACGGCCAAGGCCGGCCTCGGTCTGGCTAACTTCCAAAGCTATGCTCTGAACCACTCCGGGCTTCCAGCTCAAGGCTTCCAAAGACACGTAGAGGCACTGGGGCAGGAAGCAGACATCATACAGGCAGCACCTCGCAACATTCACCTTTAATTCTGTTACAAACTCCAGCGTTTGCCCTGGCCACTGTCGGCCGAAGGTTTCACAGAGACTGTCGGGGAGAGTAGGCACAAAATGCCCGAAGGGCCTGCTGCCCTCTGAGGCACCTCCTCGGCTCCCGCCAAACATCAGCAAGCTGGGTAGACTTCGTGTGTCCACCAGGCCCAGCCCTGCCCTCCCCAGTCTTGGGTTGAGAGTCTCCAGGCCCCAGCGAGGGTGGGCACCGACGTCCCCATTCGTCCTCACCGCTGAATCTCTGGGCAGCTCCAGGGGCTACTTTGGCCCCACAGGGAAACTCATAGTCAGCCACGGCCCTTACAGCGTCTGGGAGATGCGCTTCTGCAAGAGAGCCCAGGCTTTCTCCACCTTTGGGCAGGCGGGAGTGTCGGGAGGAAGAGAAGTCAGGGTCAGACAGGCACCCACTGGAGACCCTCCCCTACAACCCAGCCCTTTCCTGGGCACCAACCTGGCGCTGGGTGACCTGCGATTCCCATAGGGTGCTCAGCACCACGTGGCTCTGGTCCACAAGCTGTTGCCCGCTCATCTGGCTCTGCAGCCGGCTCTGAGCTGCAGCTTCGCTCAGCCCGTCCCTCTCCACAATGCGGCGTACAGCCTGGGCACGGAGAAGGCATCGGTCAGCCCACAGGCTCCAAGCAGGCTGCCCTGCGCAGTGGGGAGGGGGTGGGGGATGGGGTCCAGTACCTCAGTCTCAGGGATGACGACAGTCCACACCTCATGCACCATGTTCTGCCAGCCGGCTTCAAGCAGCATGGCGGCATCGATCACGCACACACGCTTTCCTGTGGGGAGACCCTGGTCACTGCTAGCAGCAAGCTGCCACTTGCTACCAGAGAGCCGGGGGAAGCCTAGTCCCAAGGAAAGTGGAGGGTCTGGCTTGGGGGGTAGGAAGCTCCCAGGAGGAGAATCTGCTTAACGTCCCCCTCAGCTGCTCCCATCATCCCTCCAACACACCCTCAGCCACAGCCTGATTCATCTCCTCTCGAGCCAGTTCTGCGATAATTGGCCACATAATGTCCGTGAGTATCTTCAGCTGCTTCTGAGGAGGGAAACAGGAGGTGGGCAATTTACCTGCCACTGGAGACAGAGCCAGCTCGAGGGAGGAGGTGGGGGGGAATGGATGGGTGGAAACTGGCCCTCTGAACCAGACCAGAGAGGTCCACTCGGTCCCAACCTCTGGGTCTAGTAGCAGCTGAGGTGCTCTTGGAGAGAGGTATGCTTACCTTGTTCCCAAACACTCGGCTGCCTAGAACCTTCCTGTTGATAATGCCATCTTTATGGAGAATATCTGGACGACAGAGACACAGAGCTCGGCAAGGAGGCCAGGCCATCCCCTCACTTCAGGCCACTTCCAGCCCTCCCCAGGCATTACCTGTTCCAAAGGCTTCCACAACAGGCTGATAGGCTGGACCCCCTGGGGCATAGGCCCGATGGCCCAGTTGGTCACTGTCGATGACAAACGCCCCCAGGCCCTTAAGCCGCTGAGCTACTGAGCTCTTCCCAGAGCCACTGATGCCCGTCAGCCCAATCACGTAGAGCTGTGTGGGGAGCTCGGGCCTCTTCTGGAGGTAGATGAGAGGGAACCCCAGTTACTAGGGTCTTCAGACTCCTGCTGGAGACTGAATTCTTCAGTCTTTACTCTCTGGCATCTCCAGCCCACCCAAGCAGAGGAGAGGAAGGGCGTACATATGGAGGCCGAAGCAGCTTTCCCAGCATTCGTTGGCGGAAGGTGGAGGAACTGACTTTGTCCTCTTCGTTGTCTGTATGGTTTTGGTCCTTTAGCAGCTGGATCTGGTACAAGGCAAGCTCCTCCAGATCCTGAGGTTAAAGAGGAGGGGTGAGGAGAAGGGAGGAGGGGCAGGAAGATGATAACATCCGAGCTGCCCCCTTATCCTCCCCAGAGTAGAGCCTGACTCCAAGGAACTGGGAATCAGTTCCTTCTCGCCTCTTCCTCACCACCCCAAGCCCTCTCTTCCCACCTCTAGGGTCACAGTACTTCCAACAGCCCCCCACGTGGCCTCCCCCGTCCCCATCCACTCCCTCTGCCAGTCTCCCTCAGGGGTTACATTCTCAAGCCGGAAGCGGTTGACGGCCATCCCCCCACGATAGGTCTCCTCGCTGACCACCAGGAACTCCAAGGAGGGGTCAGAGCCAGCGGGCCCATAGGGGTCCAGCAGGGGGACGATATCAAAAGTCAAGGAGGGCTTGATGTCCACCAGGAACTCACTCAGATGTTCCACACGTTCTGCGTAGGGCTGGAGCAGCTCAGGGAGCAACTTGCCTGGGGAAGGAGCCCAAAAGAATAAGGAGATCTTTTATTGGGAAGGAAAACTGTAGGCAAGTTTGGGGAAGACTATCCCTAAGCATCTAATCTCCGGGGGAGGGGGGGAGGGGTGGCAGGAAAGAAGGGCTAAGCTGGGAAGTGCTGCGTGTCAGGGGAGCAATGAAGAGGGAGCAGGGGCTGGCATGTGTCCAGAGGACGAGCAGTGCCAGGGAGCTTCAGAATCAGATGGAGATTTCCAAGAACCACCCCAACAATGAGTCCCCTCGTGCTGTATCTCTGGCACGCCTACCTACAACCCACGACCCACTCATTCATTTACTTCCAGGGTCTCAACCTTTAGGGTTTAGGAGCCGGAGAACGTCTCAAGAGTTGCAGATTCCTTAGTTCCACATTTGGGGGAATTCTGATTTGAGTGGTGAGTAGATCACACATGGAGAAAGCTGCACTAGTTCATTTAACGTAATTTCCTTAACACCCACCGGGTGCCAGGCGCTGTGACACATGGGAGGGGTGGGAAGTAAAGGATGCCCCCTCTTCCTTGGCACTGGGGGAAGACTGAGGAGTTTTGAGGGTCCTCCCCTGCTCTATTCCAGAGTATCTCTCACTCACTCTTCAACAGGTCTTTGTCCGCTACTCCCACCACAAGCTGCTCCTGAGCCAGGATGCACGCGACACTGAGCAACACCTTGTGGGCATTGTGCAGGCGGTCAAACGTGCCACCCACGGCCCCACGGTGGTAGCCACGCACTGGCTGCTTTGGAGACCTGGCCACGGGGGAGGCTGGCCTGATGGTGGAGGCTAAGGGGGCATCCAGGGGCTCCCCGGGGAGCTCTCCGGGCCCATAATCGGGGTATAGCAGCACCGAAGCCAGCTGGGGACAACAACTGTAGCAACTGGTGGCATAACGCTCTAGCTGTTGTTTGACCGGGTTGTACTGGCTCCCATCCAGGGTCTGGAAGTCAGTCAGCACCACTTCCGGTGGGTGGGCCAGGTTCTGGACTGAGCTGGGCAGGGGAGGGAGAAAGGCGCTCTTGACTCCTATATTGGTCAGCAGGACTCTGACGTCCAGGTGCCTGTGGACATCAGCGCCAGCGTAGAAGTGCGTGATGAAATCCAGGACCTCAAACGTGGCCTGCACGAGGCTGGACTGGGGCTGGGCCGGTCCCCCCAGGCTCAGGCCGGGCTGTAGGTGTACGTAGAGCGTGTGTTTCACCAGCCGGGCCGCCGAAGTCAGGATGGGGGCCAGGCGAGGGACCAGGGAGGCGAGCGGCGTCGTCAGCACCAAGAGGCCCGATCGGAATACGGCCATGCTGCCCAGGCCTGCGGACAGCCAGGGAGACGAGGCGTGGTGACTGAGGGGTTATGTGGCCGAGGCTGAAGGCAGTCAAGGCCCCAGGGAGAGGCCCTGGCGCAGGGACGGGGTCTCAGTGCTGATCCAGAGGAACCCCGGGGAAGGCACGAGGGATCGGGGCTATGCACGGAGCCCCAGTTTCACATCTCTTAGACGGAGCGGTGAAGCTGCTGAACGGAATCGAAATCCTGGGCAGGGAAACTGGACAAAAGCCCCTAAGTCACAGGGCCACGGATCCAGAAATCCTAGGCCCTCCTGCCAGGCTGTACCAGGATCTTAAGGGAATCGAACGAAGATACTAGAGGGAAACACTCAGGCTCGGAGCGGTCCTCTACTTACTGACCTCTGGTCTTAGGTTCCGCTAGAGCCGCCGCGGAGTCTTACCTGGCTGCGACCCGGAAACAGTAGTTCAGCAGCTGCAACTCCGAGCTACGGAACGGCAGAGGGGCCAAAGTCTTAACTAGGTTCGGGAATCTCGCGAGATTTTGTAAGGAGTAGGGCGGGTCCTGCTGAGGAGGTGGGGCCGAGTTCGGAGGCTGCGGGAGCCGGTGAACCTATTTATTTCCAGATCTCAACCATTCCCAGACCAGTTGGTGGAGGGCGAGGCGGAGCTGGAAGGTCATTTCACGGATGCCCTTTGGACCCTGACAGAAGAGAATGACTTCAGCTGAGTTACCCAGGAGATAGCGGCAGAGGCAGAACACACACATGACTTTCCTCTTAATAAGTTATAGGACACAGCACCTGGGTGGCTCAGCCGGTTGAGCGTGGGGCTCCTGATTTCGGCTCAGGTCGTGATCTCACGGTTTGTTACTTCAAGCCCCGAATCAGGCTCTGCGCTGACAAGGTGGAGCCTACTTGGGAGGCAGGCTCTCCCCCGCCTCTCTGTCCTTTCCCCACTCGCATTTGCTCTCTCTCTCTCAAAATAAATAAACACTAAAAAAATAATAAATTACAGGGACGAAGGTGGGGGCCACAGGGTAGCACTTAAATCAGGACTCAAGAGTCCCTGGAACCCTCCTGGTGCCCTCCCACTCCAAGGATCCTCTTGTTGGAGGCCACAGGACAACTCTGTCCAAGCCCCATTTCACAGTTGGGGATGTTGAGGCCCTCTATGTTCCAAGGACATGTAAGGCAGTAATGACAGAGGCCTGGTCTTACAGCTTGCCACCCCACTCGGAACCAGCTTGAGGAGAGACGAGGAAAGTTCTGCATGGCAGCTTAGTAGAGTTGACACAGGATGGTCTCCAGACAGGAGAAAAAGGAGAGGAAGGAGGGAGATCTAGTGTCTAAGGGTTTACTGTGAGGCTAATAGAGCTGGAAAGGCTGCTGGTCTCCCTGCGGAGAGAAAGCCAGGTTGCCATCAGGAAATATTTCAAGTAAATCATTCACAGAGATCTCAGAAGGGAGGGAAACCAATCTCCTAAGATTCCAATATTGTGCTGTGGCTTATTTCCCCAAACTAAGCAAATACTCATTTTCATAATTATATGGAGTTTTTAAAATTAAGTTTGTTTATTTTTTAAAGAGAGAGCACCTGCGGGGAAGAGGCAGCGAGAGAGAGAGACAGAGAGAGACGGAGACAGAGATAATTCCAGGTAGGCTCCGAGCTGTCAGCTCAAAGTCCCACACGTGGGCTCGAACCCACGACCCATGAGATCATGACCTGAGCCGAAATCAAGATTCCCACAACCAACTGAGCCGCCCGGGTGCTCCCTTTTTTGTATTCTTAAGGAGGTGTCTCAAGGGGGCACCTGGCTGGCTCGATTGGTGGAACATGCGACTCTTGATCTGAGGGTTGTAAGTTAGAACCCCACATTGGGTGTAGTGATTACTTAAAAATGCAATCTTAAAAAATAAATAAATTAAGTAAATAAAGAGATGTCCCAAAGGTGTATAAGCCTCTGGCCCCTCAGAGCCTGGATGTGCCCCTGGAGTCAAGGATTGGAAGAGTTATAGAGCCACAAAGGCACTAAAGCCAGCTTCAGGGAGGAGACACTCTGGGTTGGATTTTAAAGAGAGGATCCCGTATGAAGAAGCAAACTGCAGACTCTCAGGAAACGCCCTGAAACATCTGGGCACAGACTCACACGGAGTCACTGTTGGAGAAGATGTGAGTGCTAGTTGACTCTCAAGCTGGCCTTGGGCAATTGGAGGCTCCTCCCACACTCCTGTCCTTATATACACTGTTCCCACAGCGGTAGCCTTGAGAGAGCAATGGGTTGAGACCATCTGGATGGTATATGTGATGGAACTAACTTAAGGCCTCAGTATGCACTACTGAGATTCTGGTGGCCAAGTGCAGAGATCGACTTGTCTTTTTTTTTTTTTTTTTTAATGCTTTATTTATTTCTGAGAGAGAGAAAAACAGTGTGAGCAGGGGAGAGTCAGAGAGAGAGGGAGATACAGAATCCGAAACAGGCTCCAGGCTCTGTCCTGGCAGATAGCACAGAGCCCGATGCAGGGTTCGAACCCACGAACCATGAGATCATGACCTAAGCCCAAGTCGGAGACTCAACCGACTGAGCCACCCAGGTGCCCCGAGATCTACTTGTAGCCGCCCAGGATGAGTCTCATACGTCAGTTCCCTTGCTAATTAACCCCCCCCCCCCCCCCCCCCCCCCCCCCCCCCCCCCCCCTCTGGAGTGGTCTGCCTCTTTCTTTGGTCTCTTCTTGGTCTCTGTGTACGTGAGCCAGTTTCAGATTTCACCTAGGGAACTTCTAGGTTGTGAGCCAACAGTCATTTTTATTCAGTAAATGTGGATTCAGTGCCTCCCACGATCAGGAACAGTTCTAGGTATAAGGAATTAACCAGTGAACAAAACAAACCAACAAGCTGCCCTGGAGCTTAGATTCCTCTGGGTCTTGGGATAGGGTGATGACAGTTATAGAGAAATGTGTAATGATAAGGTCAGCAAGTCAATAAATAAATCTATAATACATCTAGTGATGATAAGTGCTATGAAGGAAAATGAAACAGGGTAAGGGAACTATAATTGGGAAGGGAATGCTATTTTAGATAAGGTCGTCCAGGGGAAGACCTGAAAGAAGAGAAAAATCAGAGATTAGGGACGCTGTACCGGACACAAGGAATAGCCAATTCAAAGGGCCTAGGGCGGAAAGCCAGTAGGACTGAATCAGATGGTTGTAAGTGATGAAAGATAAGGTCAGAAAGGAGGTGGAGCCAGATCAAAGCATATGTTGGAGGTCGGTCTTAGAGAACAGTCTTTGATTTTACTTCAAAAGCCACAGGAGGTGTTTTAAGCACTGACATGAAGTAACTTTCATTTTTAAAAGTTCATTCTGGCTGCGCTGTGGAAATTTTACTTGGTGGTCATGGGTGGCATCAAGGCACCAGTTAGGAAACCACTGTGGAAATCCATGTGTCCTGATGCTAGACCAGAGTGCAAAGACCAGAGTGATTTCCAAATATGCTCTGAAGACTGAAGGTATTTGCTGATGCGTTGGCTGAGGGATGGGCAAGGAGGAAGAATGGAATTATCAGGTACTGAAGTGGGGAAGACTGGGGCAGGGGGAGGTCTGGAAATCAGAACTTGGGTTTGGACACATTAAGTTTATTAGGCATCAGGTGGAGCTGTTGAGTAGGAAGTTGGAGACATATGTCTGGAGTTTTGGGAAACAGTGCAGTTGGAGACATTGGAGATTTTGATGAGGGTCATGGGAGCATAATCGGTCCTTGAAGTCACAGGATTGCAGTAGACTATTAAGAGTATGAATGTGGGGCGCCTGGGTGGCTCAGTTGGTTAGGTGTCCAGCTTTGGCTCAGGTCATGATCTCGTGGTCTGTGAGTTCGAGCCCCGCACTGGTCTCTGTGCTGACAGCTCGGAACCTGGTGCCTGTTTTGGATTCTGTCTCCCTTTCTCCCTCTCTGCCCATCCCCTGCTTATGCTCTCTCTTTCTCTCTCTCTCAAAAATAAAAAGAGTATGAATGTAATTGAGACACATGGCTGGTTCAGTTGGTGGAGTGTGTGATTCTTGATCTTGAGGGTTCGAGCCCCACGTTGGGTACAGAGATTACTTAAAAATAAAATCTTAGTGGCACCTGGGTGGCTCAGTTGGTTACGTGTATGTCTCTTGATTTCAGCTGAGGTAGTAATCTCACAGTTCCTGAGATCAAGCCCCAATCTCCAAGTTGGGCTCTGTGCTGACAGCAAGAAGCCTGCTTGAGATTTTCTCTCTGCCCCTCCCTTGCTCACATGCTCTCTCTCTCTCTCAGAATAAGCATTTAAAAAACTTAGATTTCGTTTAAAAAATAAAATCTTAAAAAAAAAAGATGATGAATGTAAATTCATGGAAGGGTCACACTTTGCCTTTCTCATCATTGCATCCTCACCCTGGGTTGTGACCTTGTGATTGGGGTGTGACCTTGTGAGCGTATGCGTGTGCGCGCGCACACATTCACACACACACAGACACACACACACACTCTCTCTCTCTCACTGGGGTGCAAAGGAATAGACTGGGGGACAAGAGCTGGGCTCTGAGAGCAGGTCTCAGAGATTCATACCATCTTGGCCCTCTCCCCTTGCTGTAGCCTTTCTGGATCCTGAAGGGACAGCAGAAGCATCTGGGCCAGCAGGGCAGGGAAACAGGCAGGGATGAGCTGGCTGAGGCCCCCATCCCAGAAGCAGCCAGCAGCCCAACGCCCAGAGCGGATGGCTACGTGGAGGTAGTGGCAGGTGCAGATGCCGCTGTATCTCCTCTCTCTCCACCCAGGTTCCAAACAAACCCCCAGCAGTTTCCCCTTTCTGACTTTCCAAGCGCTCTGCAGCCATGCCCCTCCCCCTCCCCATCTCTTAGGCACCCCCGCCCCTGTCCTCTGCCCGCAACCTCCTCATCTAGTAGTCTCCCTGTTCACCCCTTCTCCAGCACCCTACTTCTCAGGAAGTTGGCAGGAAATGGTCCCCACAACCCTGCAAGCCCTTTCTCCGGCCTCTGCGCCCCCCCCCCCCCCCCCCCCCACCCCGCTTCAGGAAGGAAAGCCCGTTAGGCAGGCCAGCCTGACCTGGAGCCTTAGCTGAAACCTTCTGGTGAGTGGCAGCTTCTGGGCTGGTGGGGAATCCCTCCAGCTGAGTTCTGTCAAGGTCAGGGGACACGGAGGAGGATGAGTGCAGCTGTATCCTTATGACTCACTTGGCCTTGTTTCTTCTTTACACATCGGGCTTCCGCATAGGTACACAAAGTAGTAACACCACTACTAGCAGCCAATAATAGCGGTGCCTGCTAGTAAGACCTCCTCCCCAGCACTTTCAGGAATTAGCTCAAGCCTTCATACCATCCATGACACAGGTCTTCTACCCATTTTACAGATAAGAGAACAGACTCAGAGGATAAGGACCTTGCCTGAAGTCTCATTGACTAGTGGGGGCCAAATCACAAGCCGCCTCTCCCCCTTCCCAGGTCCGCCTCACCCCTGCTGCAGACACCCTGCGGGAATCCAGGGACCACTCTCGACCCTGCCCTTCGGGGGGCTAGCTCCTTCCTCTTTCTGGGCCTCGGCTTCCGCGTTGGTATTCCCCGGGTTACCCACGGTCTTTCCAGATCGCCCGCCCGCTGCACCCGCCACCTGTCGCCCACGTCCCCCGGAACGGCGCGCCCATGGGGCCGCAAAGGAGAGAGCGGCAGACAGCGGCGGGCCAAGCCTTTATTGCGGGGCGGCTGGAGGAGCGCCGAGCGCGGGGCCGCCCAGGTCCGCAGCGAACTCCTCGGCGGGCTCGTCGGCGAACGCGGCGCGGTGCATGGCGGCGACGTAGCTGCGGCCGCTGGGGTCGGCCAGGCGCATGCGCACCAGGGGCAGGAAGCGCTCCGTGCAGAAGTAGCGCAGCGCGGGACGCGGGTCGCGCAGCGCCGCGAGGAAGACCTGCGGCGGCGGGAGAAGGAGGCGCGTGGCCGGGACTGGCCGCCGCTCCCCCCCCCCCCCACGCGTCGTCTTTGTTCCCGGGGCCGCGCCCGGCGCCTACCTCGGTAACCTCCTCCGGGTCCTGCGCCGCCTCGCGTAAGATCCGCTCCAAATGGCGCTGGTAGCGGGAGAAGAGGTCGCGGGTCTCCGCGTCCGCGCCGTTCAGCGCTCCGCCCGGGCCGCCCTCCAGCTTATCCTGGAAGGCGGTGCGCACCGGGCCGCACTCGATGAGGCTCACGCTGCGGGCACAGAGCGGCGGGTGGGCGGGGGCGCGGCAAGCGGGACGGACCAGGCGGGCAGGGGGCGAGACGGGGTCTGCGCGTGGGCCTCGGGCCCGAGGTAACCAGAGCGTTTGAAAAGCGGCTTACTGCCGGAAAAGCCCCTCTCCCCCGCCACACACACAGCCATTTGGGGGTGTGAGAGAGACGTGCGTCAGAATCCTATCCTGGCAGGCTCCCCTCAGCTGTGTGATCTTGGGCAAGTCACGTAACCTCTCTGGGCCTCCGCTTCCCAGCTGGGTGGCGGAAGTGAGCTAACGAGTGCCAAGTGCCCAGTACTGCACCTGGCATACGACTGTGAGCCACAGTGGAGAGGAGCCAGGGAGAACGCCTGAGAGTGGCTCAAACAGGTCAAGGTGCTGGGGTTCCCAAAGTCAGGGTTCAGAGGGTGCTGGGGGCGGGGCGGTGACTCACTGGACCCCGAAGGGCGGCAGCAGAACCGCCAAACTCTCGCATAGACCTTCGACTGCGAACTTGCTGGCGCAGTAAACGGCGTTGAATGGCAACCCTTCCAGGAGAGATGAGGCTTTTGGAGGCGCATCTGGGATGGCATCCGCCCCGAGCCCACCGTAGCGCGTGGCATGGCACCAGGCCTCGCCCCTCCCGTTAGCTCTGCCCCATTCCACGCACCCATCAAGCCGCCGAAGCTCCCCGTCACCAATATGCGTCCCGAGCGGCGACGCTTCATGTCCGGGAGGAAGGCCTGCAGTGTCCGCACCGTCCCTGCCACGTTCACGTCCAGCACAGACCCGACGGCGCCAGCCTCATGCGCCTCCAGCGGCCCGAGCAGGCCCCGGCCCGCATTACACACTGTGGGGAGAGAGGCCGAACGCCACCTGCCTCGCCTTCCTCCGACCCAGCCTGTCCCCTTGTGGTCCCGGGGCTCCAGGACATTTTGGTTTGGACATAGGGCAGGAAAGGCTCCTGCACACATGTTTCGGGGAGACTCACCCAGCACGTCCACGCGGCCCTCCGTCACGCGTGCGCGAGCAGCGGCCACGGAATCTGCATCCCTCACGTCCAGCTGCAACGTCTCCAGGGAGCCAGGAGGGCACCCTCGGGACTGAGCCGCCTCCCACAGTGGGCCCTGCGCCCCCAGGTCCCGCAGCGTGGCATACACTGGAGGTTCAGGGAGAAGAGGATCTGAATTCCCTGCTTACCCCCACCTGGGTCCCCTTGAACCAGCGATTGCTCCCTTCTCTCCTGTCCCAGCCCCTCATATACCTTTGAAGCTCCTGGAGGGGTCAGATGCCAGACGCAGGGCCAGGTGCAGGCCAATGCCCGAGGAGCAGCCGGTGATGAGCACCACCGTGCGGTCCATGGGGAGCCGGGCGCGTTTGGACAGGGGCAGGGGAATGCAAGGCTCAAGGCTCCGGTCGCTGAGCTTGAGAGGCCCTGCCTTGCCCCGCCTACGGGGTGCCCACCCCTTGTTGTGTCTCCAGCATAATCTCAAGGCTGAGCCCTCCCGCCAGTCTGGGACCTCCTCTCCCCACCATGTATCTCGGTCAAAGCAGAGATGAGGCCCCTGCTCGGAATACCCCTTCTTCCATTGCTGGTCAGAGGGAGGGCAAAGCTTTGCAAGCAGACGTGGACTCTCATGTGGGCGGTGAGTGACCTGGGCGCATCTTCCCCTGTGTGTGCCTCTGTCCCACAGGAACAATGATAGGTTCAAAGTTTGCTGCTGAGGGTGTGAAAGCAAATGTTTTGGGGAGGGCCTTATCAGTCCCAAGGTCAGGTGTTAGTATTACATATGGGGAGGCTGAGGCAAGGGGGCTGGGGGAAATAGCGTCACACCAGTGTCCGTGCTGTAGTCCTGGGTCCTCCTGGGCATCTCGGTCGTGACATTTGGACAGACAGACCCAGGTGATTCACCAGTTTATTAAGTTGTATTAAAACAGTACTTTGAAAAAAAATAAAACAGTACTTTGATCCCACATTTGGGGTGGTAGAGAACAGCTCACCCCTCTCCACAGTTCCCATGCTTGATCCCCCAGCAGGTCTGGAGTTCCTTTGCCCAGGCCTGGGGCCCGCCTGGGATGCCTGTCCAGCTCCAGGCCCTGGTAACCTGCCCAGGCCTGGAATTTGGGAAGAACACTGCCCAGAGGGTGGTCAATCTGTCACAAGGAGCCAGCCACCAACCGGGGGTAATATCTGAGGAAGAGCTGCTTGGCCAGGTCCACAGTGTCTCCACGGGGCTGGCTAGGATACCTCTGTGTGCTCAGGACAAAGGTCTGCTCCAGCTGGAAGGCATTCTTGTCAAACTGGTGCTGTTGGAAGGGGATGCCTCGGACCAGGCTCTCGACCAGCATCTCCATGAAGAGCCGCCAGCGCGGGGTGTAGTAGTCGGCCACCAGCCCGGCCAGCTGCTTGTTAGCGTAATCTAGGATGTTGCCCTCCGGCCCCCACAGGGTCAGCTGGTAGCGGCTGTTCAGCTCATAGAAATGGGCCTCGGCCTCACTGATGGCCGCCGCCCGGGCCTGCTCCAGCCAGCTGCCCAGCAGGAAGCGGCTGTCACTGGCCAGCACTTTGTCCAGCGAGGGCAGAAGCTCATAGACCAGGATGCCCGCCGCCCTCAGCAGGGGAACCAGCTCCTTGTTCAGGTAGGCGGCCCTCGCCTCCCCATAGTACAAGCTGACCAGCTCCTGGGCCGCCTGGCGAGTGACGTCCAGCAGGTCGTAGCGGAAGGTGGGGCTGGTGGCCAGGGTGGGGGTGGCTGTCAGCAGCAGCCGCCAGGCCTCGAACACATCTGATCGATTGTACCAGACGGTGGTAAGCATCCGCAGGGACGGCCTCCTGACCAGAGGGCTCCGGTTGTGCCCGCTGCAGGCTTCACCGGAGCAGTTGTAGACACTCCTGAGAAGCAGCCTCCAGGCGGCCTCTGTGTTTCCGTGGGAGGCCCCATACCGACGGGCCGCAAAGCCAGCCACCCAGGCCTCCAGGTCTGCCACTGGGTCCTTCCGCCAGCCCAGCTCGGCCATGAGGGCATAGACCACTTCGTTCTGGCCAATGCCCTCCGGGGCCATGCCTGTGCCTACCATGGTGGAATTGGGGAAGAGGCGGGCGGCGGCAGGACCTCGGTTCACGGCCTCCAGGGCCCCGAACAGACCGTGGTTGCCCCCAAAGTTATGCAGCATGCACCAGATGAAGGGCTGGCCCTGGAAGGAGGCTGTTCGGAGGTACACAGGCTGGCTCTCGGCAAACAGGTCCAGAACCAAGAGGCGGCCACGGGGCACTGCCCCCAGCACGGCTCTCACCTGGGCCGGCCCCCAGAACTCGGGCTGGTGCTGGAAAAGCCAGCCTTGGAGCAGCCACACGGCGTCAGGGTCCACTGTGGTGGGGGGAGGGGTGGGGAGACAGAAAAGAGGGCTGATGAGAGGACAGGGGGCAGGGGAACATTCACCCCATTCCACAGATGAGGAAACAGAGGTCCAGAGAGGTTAAATGACTCTACCACAGGACACTCCTTCCTCTGTCACCCCCAGCCCACGGGGCACAGCATCACACACAGCCTTCCCATCTCCTCCTCCTCCCACTGACCTATGCCACATGTCCCTGAGGGCGAGGGGGGAAACTCCCCTTTCCACCTCCCCCTGGCACCGAACCTGTGACCATGGCCTGGTAGACAGAGGCTGTGGCTGATGCAAGGTAGGAGGGCTCCGAGGAGGGGGGCTGCATCTCGTTGAAAGTGTCGGCCCCGTAGATGTGATCCGTGCCAAACTCTTTGGTCAGTTCCCGCAGGAAGAGGCTCCCAATGATAGGGAACAGAGGGTCTTCCGGAGCCAGGAGGAAGGAGCAGGAGTAGGAGCAGTTGAAGTGTCCCCAGCTGCCCAGCTGGGTGACATTGACCTGAGGGAACACCCTAGTAGCAGGGACAATCCAAACATTTACTGGAGGCCGATGTGGTATCCATCGCCAGCCTCACTAGCTTATCTGCAGTTCCTGGAACCCATCCCGGTTTCTCCGGCCTCTGTGCCTTTGCACATGCTGTGCCCTGTGGCCGGAGTCCTTTCCTCCTCCCTCCCTGCTTAACTAGCAGGTTACTCTTCAGCACCTCATCTGGAAAGCTGCAGTCTCTCGCCCTCCCACAGGCCTAAGCAAGCAACCTTCAGTTTTCAACATCTGGCCCAGTGCTGGCTCTGCGCTGAGCCCTGGGTGGCCTACTTCCCCAGGCAAGAGCAGGCTAGACAGAGAAGTGGGCCCATGTATGTTCCCGTCCTTATCCCTGCGCTGTCTCCCCCTGCCGACCTGTCACCCAGCAGGGGGAGACCGCAGTGTACCTTTGTCGCTGCCTCCTAGCGCCCAGCACAGAGCCTTGTCTGACCAATGTTTGCTGACTGTATGAACGAGGCTCTTGCAACCCAGCCAGGAGGTGAAGGGGTGGCCAGTAAGGCCAGTAGAGTGCGCTAAGCCCTGTGACAGTCGTGGGAACCAGGCTGTCATGGGCATGGAGGAGGTGGTAACCAATGCTTGGGGCCCCAGCAGGGCTACCCAAAGGACAGGAGGTCTCAGCTGGACCCTGAAGAATTTTCCAGTCACAGCAGAGAAAGAGGTGGTAGTACAGAGGAACAGAAAGGACAGAGAAGACTGCCGCACAGCAAGTGTCACTAAATAAGAGTGCCATCTGGAAAGACTCATATATTTTACAAGTAAGGAAACGGAAGCACAGAAGCAGTCATGTAATAGGAGTCCAAGTTCATGTTGCTAGTCCGTAGCAGAGCCAGGAATCAAGCCCAGGCCTACATCCAGAGCTTCAGTTTTTCTCTAAATCACATCTTGCAGGGGAAAAGGGATTTTCTTTCTGAGCTGAGTGGGGGGTGGGGTGGGGGGAAGGGAACCTTACCTGGTGATAGCCTTGGGGACGTGTCCTGCGAATGCAGGCAACACTGGGGTCATGCCGAAGGAGCGCATCCGGTCCAGGATCCGGTGCTGGGGGGAACAGACGGGGAGCTGGTGGGCAAGGCCCTGAGGCGGGAGATCCTTACCACCACCGCCACCCCAGCCCTGGGGCACAGAGTTCCCTTCAAGGCCGTTAAGAGCCCCAAGGCTGGCCAAAGACCAGCCTCCTTGGCCCAGGACTCTCTAGCACTTTCCAATTCAGCCCCCTTTCCTTCCCCGTCCTTTTACCTGTAGGTAAAGCTGTTTGAGGTGCCAGGAGCGGGGCAGGGGGCCACCCCAGGTGTGCAGGTTGCCCATGCGCGCCCAGGCCAGGAAGGCAGGGCCAGTGAAGTACTCATCGATCTCTGACTGGGTCAGGCCCAAGGCCAGGTACACCTGAGGAGGAGGGCGATCCCCACACGTAAGTACATGTAAATACATTCATCTCCATTCATCGATTCATTCATTTAACAAACACTCTTTCATCTCTTCCCTGTGCTGAGCCCTAGAGTTACTAAGACAAAAAGTGACCCTTGGCAGGAGCCCGGGGTTCAAGAGAAACAGACCCGTGAACAGGTGAATTTACTAATCTGTCAGCCTTGTCGCAAGGGCGAAATGAGGCACAAAGGGGCTCTCTCCAAAGTGGGGGAGGGGCCTTAGGAGGCTTCATGGAACAAGGCTGGCTAGAGTGATGGGTGAGGCCAGCTCCCCAGGGAGCCCTCAGGGCCCCTGAAGGCCCCAGGCCGAGGAGAGCCTGAAGGTGACAGGAGCCCCTGTCGGGACAGCAGCAGGTCTCCACCAGACTTGCACCTCAGAAAGGACATGGCTGGAATTTAAGAGCCAGGAGTCCTGTTCAGTGGCTCTTGTGGGGGGGGGGGGCACCCAGGGAGAGGGGCAAGAGCCTGAACTGGTGCCATGAATCAGGATAAAGAGGATGAGGCAGATCAAGAGCTGCTGATGAGACAGAATCCAGGGAAGGAGCAGCCTGACCGGCTGTGGGGGTGGGGAGAGAGGGGAGCCCGGCTTCTGAAAGTGTTTCTAGGGGGATGCCGGGCTCCAGCCCTCCACAAGCGCTCCTGTGTTTGGCTCGGCAACAGAAGCCTGTTTCCAGATGGCTAGGGCCATCGTGCACGCCACAGATACTTCTCAAGTCGTTAGTCTGTGTACCAGACGCTGGGCTGGGGGGAGGCAGGGACACAGGGGGAAGGAGGATGTGGTGGGCACGCACCCGCTGCCAGACGGCCTCCTGGCCGCTCCAGGCCAGTGCCAGGTTGATGCCATTCAGTGCCATCCAGTCCAGCTCCTTCTCCCAGCGGGCCCAGCCCCACCACACGAAGGAGTAGCTGTGCGTGCACACGTTCTGGTAATAGCGGTACCTGCAGGCAGGGGCATGAGCTGCGGCATGTCCCTGGGGGCGCAGGGGATGCCCCCCACCCCCACCCCAGATCTAGCCCAGAGGGGAGGTGTCCCAAGTGCAGCCCCTCTGCTGCTTCACTCTAGGACCCACCCGAGGTAGAGTTGAGACTCAGTACTGAGGCAGGAGGGGAGGGAGACTCGGGTGACAAGGTGACCAAAGTAAAGCCATTTGGTTTTAGGCTGACCCTTAACCTAAAAGTCAGCAGGTCGTTAAAAAGAGTCACAAGATCCCACTCATGGAAAACCACAAGACCCCACTCCCTCCCGCAGTAAAAGTCACAAAGGCCGGACATTCTTAAAACTGCTCCCTGTGGGTAAATCCACAACCCAGTCACAACCCTAAAACAATGGAAAAGCTAACCACCCAGTGTAAAGGTTAAATCCTAAGTTAAAGAGTAAGCCTCTCCCTATATGGAGAGCTAATCTAAAAAACTTACAAAACCCTTCGTTAGAAGCAAAGGGGTGGGTGTTCTCTTCCTCATCTGGGA